TATGTTATTCTTCTTTGGATCATCTACCAGCTGCTGGATTGATTTCTCATGCTCATGGTGCCTTACTATTTAAATTTTTTTTTCTTTTCCTGGTCACTAATTCCAATCTTATCTTCTACATCTGAAACTCTGTCCTCTAGGTCATTTTGCTCTGAAAACTTTTAATGGAGTTTTTAGTCTCCTGGAAATCTGTTTGCATCTGTTTTACGGATTCCATTTGTTTCCTATGTTGGGATTGCATCATGTTCCTCAGCTCCTCTATTTTTTTATCTGTGTTCTCTCTAGATTTATTAATCATGTCTTGCACTATGGGCACAATCTCTGCTGTTATCTGAGAAATTATTTCTGATTTCATTTTTCCCAGATCCTCTTTTGTTGCCAGCTCAGGGAGTCCAGATGGTTGAGTATCAGATTGTTCCTTCTCATTTTACTTGGGGGTTGCTTTAGGTGATCTGGAAGTCTGGTTTGGAGACTTATGTGTCTTCTCATTTCAATGGGGTGGATGGGGGAGGTGTGTGCTGCTGGTGCCCAAATGGCTCACCTCCTTCGTGCTGGGGGCATCTCTGCTCCTTGGCATTGTGTGTGGTTCTCCTCCTCGGCCCTTTCTTCTTCTTTTCTTTCATAACACAACAGGCAAGGATGACAGGTCCCTCAAGTCAGACCCCCACACAAGCAGGCCTGTTACCAGCATCCACAGAAGCACAGAAACAACAAGAAGCCAGCAGCCTATACCACATTTTCTTTATCCATTCATCTGTTGATGGGACATGTAAGGTGTTAATTATCGTAATTTATGCTGTTGATCCAGGATGTATAATAGCATAAATCACAGGAATATTAATCCCAGTTGAAAATGGGCTAGAATATAGTCATTTTCAAAAGAACACATATGAATAGGCTAACATATATGTAAAAATGTGCAATATCATTAATTAGAAGGAGAATCAATATCATAATGAAAAGTCTAGTACAATGAAATGTGTCCTAGCTACTAAGGTGACTGAAGTAGGAGGATCTCTAAGGCCCATGAGTTCAAGGGTGACTTGGGAAACATAGTGAGACCCCTCTCCTCTTTCCACCCAGAAATAGAACAAGATTACATGCCATATTCCTATGGCAAGAATACGTATAATAAAAAAGATAAAAGATAATGAGTGCTGGCAAGGAAGTGGAGAAAGAGGAACTCTTTTGCACTAGAGTAAGAACATAAATTACTAGAGACATTATGGGGGACAATATGGAGAGTCCTCAAAAAATAAAACTAGAACTTACTATACAAATCCAACAATCCCAATTGTATTAGTCAACTTTCCTATTGCTGGAGCAAAATATCTAACACTTGTAACTTAAAGGAGTAGGGGTTTAACGTGGCTCACACTTTCAGTGGGTTGAGTCCACAGTTACTTGGCTCCAAGATAGAAAGGGCATGGTGAAAGGCTCTGGTGGAGAAAAGCTGCTCACATTATGGCGGCCAGGAAACAGAGAAGGGAGGAGCTGGGAACAATGATATAACCTTCTAGGTCATGCTTCCAGTGAGCACTCACTTCCACTCAAACCTTATCTTTGAACATGGGATTTTTGGGGGAACATTTGAAATCTAAATCATAACACCAAATATATTCAAGAGAATGAAGGAAAGGTCTGGAAAAATGCCTATCTTACCATATTTATTGCAGCACTGCTCATAGTAGTCAACGTATAGAATCACCCTAATTGTCCTTCAACACAGTAATGAATAAAGGAAATGAGTTGAATATATATATACTCATAAACTATAAAATTCTGTCAATTTTGCAAAATATTTTATAAATTTATATTTTATGAAATATACATTTTATATTCAAACATTTTATATTTCAATTTTATATTTGATAAAATATAAAATTCTGCCATGAGTGACAATGTTACCAGACCTAGAGGACATTTTGTAGGGCGAACTATGTCAATCATAAAAGGCAAACTTGGCATTATCTCACTCTGAAGAGAAAGCATACCTTGATATCTTATGACTAGAGAGCAGAATAGTGGTTGCTAGGGACTGGGCAGAGTGGAGGGGTGGGAGAGCAGGAGCTGTCAATCAACAGGTACAATATTATTGTGTGAGGGGAGTAATGAATTCTGATGTTTTATGGCACAGCAGGGTAAAACAACTAACTATAAAGCATTAATCTACCTCAAAATAGAGGATAAAAAGGGAAATTATGCAGTAAAAAGAAATGACAAAATTTAAATACTGGATATGCTAATTATTCTGAGATGATCATCCCCCATTGCATATAAGAATAAAAACATCAACCAAGATGCATTATATAAAGGTACAATTCCCAATGAGAAATGTAATTGTGTTGTATACCTACAAGGTACCCATAAAAGAATTTAATACAAAAAAAAAAGAAAACATCCCACTGTATCCCATAAAAATGTAAACATATGTCATTGGAAAGATACATGCAGATTTTATTTTATTTTAATTTTTTCTCTAATTCTTATTTTTTGTTAGACTATGTTTGCAGTACACATTGATTACCCTCTTCATGGGAGGTTGATACATGTACATACACATCTTAATTATTTTTCCATTACCTTCCTTTCCCCTTCTTCCATCTCTTGTTCTTCTTCCCATTTGAAAATATGTATTTTTGAGACAAAAAACTCATGATGTTGTCCTGGCCAGCCTTGAACTATGTGGCCCCAGGTATCCTTGAACTCATAATCTTCCTGCCTCAGCCTCCTAAATGCATGTATTTCAGGTATGTGTCACCATCCCTGTCTGTATAAATAATTTTTTTAACATGCTGCACATGTCCTCAGGGACCAATGTCCTTCTAGAACAAAAGAAGTAGTATTTTCTGCTCCTGGAGATAAATAATAGAACTCTTTACCTTCCACTCATTCACTGTGATGTGTTTGCATTTTTTAAATTAATTTCATTGGTACATTTAAGGTATACAATATAATGACATTCATCATTGGAAATTTGCACGATGAAATAATCCATCTTGGTTCTTATTTTTCCCCCATTCTCCTGCCCTCCCTTCAACCTCTCCACCCCTCCCTATCTACAAAGACTTTGTTTCCATTTTTTCTTTCTCATATGAGGTGTTTGTACATGTACTGTTTTTCTTTTAAAAAGTGAATGGCATTAAAATGGTGAAGAGAGACATTACAATGCCTTCTTGACTTAAATTTTAAACATCTACCTTAGAAATTGTAAATCCACACAGAATGAGTTGTCATGGTACAAAGCATGTTGATAAAGATGAAAATATGGAAGTTCTTGAATATAAAAGATTAAAGTGAGCACTAATATGAAGCACCACTTAACCCATAAATGATGGTTGAATTCTGACCAGATGTACCCAGTGTGTGGACACATCCACATGCTCTGATTTTTGGTGATTTTATAATCGAACTATCCCTCAAATAAAAATGAAGATACATGATTTCAACTCAGTCTTCATCTGTGGAATAAACCTTTGGAATTATTCTGACAACAGGGAAAAATTATTCATGGAATTCTAGATAGGGAGTCAGTTTCTGTATATCCTTTTGGCAGTCAGTATTGAATAGATTAGAATAGATTAGAATCTTCTATGTAAACTATAAAAATGAAAAATTAAAGTTCAGTAAACACAAATGATACAAAAGACATCATGGGTATTTGTATTTTTAGTATTTTAGTTAATATTTATAATTATGTTATTTATTCCCACATATATAAGACATATTTTCACACCTAAAATAGGTATCTGACTTCCAGATATCAGTAATTATATAGATTCTTTTATTTGTAACTTGAAGGCAATACAGGAATTTATTAGAAGTGGTGGCTATATGGATGCAAACTCATGAAATAGAGATGAGCAGAAGAAAAGGAGACAGTGAATGCTGTGTATCTGGCCTCAGGGGTCAGGTAAACCACCATCCTGAATCCATCACTTGTGCAGCATTAGTCTTTAAGGACAGGTACTCCTGGGAGGAGAGTAGTGCTAAAATAGCAGGTCTAATGAGGTGCTTTGGATATTGATCTCTTTGGAATATAGAGGCAAGAAAAGTCACTGAGTCACCCCACTCAACAACCCTGCTTCCGGCTGGGAGCTGTCTGAGCCTCCTCTCAGAGATAATTATTCTTTTATCTGTATTTAAAAAACATTTATTTTGCTTATTTGTTTGTTTATTAATACATGTATGTGATACTTAGTGAATATATTCACCGTGGGCATTTGGGACAGATACATATTGCATCTTATTCCTTTTCACTTCCTCTTCCTCTGTTTTCCCTCCCCTCACCCTCCACCCCAGGTTCCTTTCCTGAACTGGTTTCCTATCACTTACCTTTTATTTTTCTCTTGACCTTATTTATACTTTGGGTTTCTCATGTAAGAGAAATCGTGTGGTGAGATGATCTTTCTGACCACCTCCTGTTGACATGTTTAGTCTGTTCACCCTTGCTGAGGACAGATCTTCCAACTTCAATATTCAGGTAAGATGCTGAACATCAGGGCTCTTGAAGCTGACCAGGTGAATTTTATCCTGGGAACCAGTGAGGAAAGCTAAGAACCAAGGGAAGAGGATTGCTCATGGGACACAACCATCCACGATACACCTGTCTGTTGTCCTCTTGACACCTTGTACTGTATATTTGCATCTATACACTCCTGTCATTCACTTAGTCTCATAATCTGTAAAAGGACAGCACTTATTTCCTTCGGAGCAGAATCTGTCCCTTCTCAAACATTATGACTGGTAAAAAAATTCTGACATTTAAATGCATTATTGTGAGAGTGTTGGGCAGGGATTCTAATGATTGTCTTAGTTGTTAAGGCTGTGGTGATAACTAAGTACCACAGATGGAGGTGCTTAACAATAGAAATCTATTTTATTATTCTAAAAGCTAGAACTCTAGAGATCCAAATATCTATAGGCATGATTTTCTAACACATTCCTGCTGCTGCTTGTAGTCCATTCATTTTATTCTTTTCACCCCACTTCCTCTGAGATTCATCAGAAACATGAAAGCTAGAAACCGAACAATCATTTCTGAATTCCTTCTCTTGGGACTGACAGATGACCCACAACATCATCCCCTCATTTTCAACCTGTTTCTGACCATGTACTTGGTCACCATCCTAGGAAACCTGCTCATCATCCTGGCCGTCAGCTCTGACTCCCACCTCCACTCCCCCATGTACTTCTTCCTCTCCAATCTGTCCTTTAATGACATCTGTTTAAGCACCACCACGATCCCAAAGATGCTGGTAAACATCCAAGCACAGGATCAGAGCATCACCTACACAGGTTGCCTTGCTCAGGCCTGCTTTGTTTTATTTTACGTTGGTTTAGAACATTTTCTCCTTGCAGTGATGGCGTATGACCGCTATGTGGCCATTTGTCACCCACTGAAGTACACAGTCATCATGCTCCCCCGCCTCTGTGTCCTGCTGGTTTTGTGCTCTGTGTTCATTAGTGTTGTGGACGCCCTGGTCCTCACTCTGATGTTGTTACGGCTGTCCTTCTGCACAGACCTGGAAATCCCGCACTTCTTCTGTGAACTTGCTCAGCTCATCAAGCTCGCCTGTTCTGATGCCTTCATCATTAATATCTTGGTATATTTCATGGCTAGCCTATTTGGTGGTGTTCCTGTCTTTGGGATCATTTTCTCCTACATTCAAATTGCTTCCTCCATTTTGAGGATGCCATCATCGGAAGGAAGGTATAAAGCCTTTTCCACCTGTGGGTCTCACCTGTCTGTTGTGTCCTTGTTCTATGGAACAGCATTTGGGGTGCACATCAGTGCTGCATTTATGGATTCAATGAGCAAGGCTGCAGTGGCTTCAGTGATGTATTCTGTGGTTCCTCAGATGCTGAATCCCTTTATCTACAGCCTGAGGAACAGGGACATAAAAGAAACCTTGAAGAAATTCCTTGTTAGGAAAACTTCTCTTCTATGATGTGTCACTTGCTTTGAAATTGGGTTTTTAGAGGAAGGCACAAGGACAGAATTCCTAGTGATTCAGAATGCATGATGTTTTTGTCACTACATTGGACAAAATGGTGACAAAGCATTTGCTTGGTGGACCAAGCAGGAAAATTTAAGTCAGGCTGTGATCAGATCTAGAGAATTGCTTCCTCTTTGTCACTTAGTTAGGTCCATGTGAAATGAATCCTAGGGTAAGTCCTATTGTGTGGAAAAGGAGGTGACGTTTATATCCTGTGAAGTAATTACTGAGGAGAATGCATCTTTCTCAGGTAATAGCAGTATTTGCCATACTGTGTTTTACCACCCTATAAAACCTGCATGTTTGATAATGTTATTGATTTGAGATGATTATGAGATTTTTACTCATTAATAAGCATGGTCATCAATAAACATGTTGCTTGCATAGTACCAACAGCACCCACTGTATTTGGCTTCCTTATTCAAGAAACTGATAAAAATTTGTATTTAACATTTTATATGTATATGGAATCTTTCAATTGCACCTCTGATGATGGAGTTATTTCAAATAAGAAAAAATAAAGACCCTAAGGTAGGTCAAAGAATTCAGATAATCATATTGAGTTCAAAAGAGTTCAAAAGTTCATCCAGGCAGGACACATTGCGGTTCATTCATTCTTCCATGAGTGAGTTTCATTCTTGTGCCATTTCTCCTTCTGGTCATGAGATACTTGAATCAATGTTAGGTGTCATATTTTGATGTTGTATCCAGAAACACAAAGCTGACTATATTTTATCTAATGACTTAGTGGGGAATCTTCTATTTATTTTTCATCCTCAGAAGACGTGTGAGAGGTCAATACTGAAAGGAAATACTGTAAATGTCTTTAAAATAAATACCTAAAGTGTTGATTAAATAAACTCAAGTAAAATAAACACCTGAAGTTGAAGCCACCATGTTGTGTGTGTGTGTGCGCATATGTATGTGTGCATGCATGTGCGTACACATGAGGGGGAAAAGTTTCTATTGCTTTTAAGTAACTGCAATCCACTAACAAATAGACATCACAGTTAATCATTTTTGTAAGTATTTATATATTGGAAGTTAGTTGAAAAATTAGTCAGTACAAAGATATGTTTGAAACAATCAAAATCATAAAACCGACTCCCTACTTTTGATCTTTTCATAACGCAGACGTAATCTTTCCAAGTTGCCATTCATAAAATGTTTTGTGATGGACATGTAACATTGGTACATATTTGCTAATGGGGCACAATATGACTAGTGATCCAATTGGGGTTAAAATTTTTATTGCCTCAAACATTCATCACTTCCATGCATTGGTAATCTTTGAACTATTTTCCTCTAATTATTTTGAAGTGCATAATAATGTTGGAGACTCTACTTACCCAAACTTACTATGAAATGTAAGAACTTGTTGCTCCTGTCTAGATCAATCCCTTTTCTCCACTCTTCCTGTCAGCTGGGACTTCTCCTCTCTACTTTTATGAGATAAAATTTTTTAGCTTCCACAATGTATGAGTGAGGATAGGTGGTATTTATCTTCCTGTGCCTGGCTTCTTTCACTTTTCACAATGTCTTCCAGATCCATACACAAAGCAGAATTTTGTGTAGGACTGAATAAGTTTTCATAGTGCATATAAATCATATTTTCTCTATTAATTCTCTAGTATGTGAACACCTTTGTTGATTCCATATTCTGGCCATTATGAATAGTGCTTCAATAAACTTTTCTTTGATACAGTGATTTTCTTTCCTTTGGTTGTATACCCTAATGGGATTGCTGAATAATGTGATAATTGTGTTTTTAGTTTATAAGCAACTTTGTCCTGCTCTTTTTGATTTATAAGACAGTCTTTGTGGACTGTTTGGCATTTTACACAAATACCAATTATATACCCTACCACATTCATTTCTTCACTGTAGCTCAACTCTATCCTCTGTAGTTTGAATATAAATGATGATAGCAGTTGCTTTTGTTTTATGTTGTTGATTTTTAAAAGGATGCATTAAATATTTAACTATTAAATATTTTATTGACTTAATTTTTAATATGCCCTTTACTGATTTAAAGTAGTTTCTTCAATTCCCACTATGTATTTTTTATTATCACGAAGGCATGTTACTTTTTTCAAATATTTTTTCTCCATCTATTGACAAAATATACAGTAATGCTTTCTACCCTATAAATTAGCTGAATCCCGTAGGGGACACCTAATGTACACATTTATGCATCCATGCATGCATATATTTAGGGTATTCATTTAGCAAAAACGAAATGCAGCACACTATTGACTTGCCCTATTTACATTGATAATACAACTCTTCAAACATTATGGAAATCTTTGCATGTGGAGCATTCATCCATGAGAGAAAAAACAGACAACACACGAAAAAGATAAGTGTAGTAGATATTGGGATGTGACACCGTATCTTCTGTCAGGAAGGATGGAATTCTCATCCCAGCTACTGGGAGTACTGCTGGCAAACAGCCCATCCCTCTCCCCTCTCTCATTCCTACTGGGATTGCTTAATATAAAAGATTCACTGTAGCTATGGCTACTTGCCCTTTGCAGGATTGTACCAATGACTAAACTGTGCAGTCTCAAATCCTGGATCATTTACTGCATCTTTGGTGATATTAAAGGTGTATCTCCATCTCCACACTACCTGGTGTGTCAAAAGCGACTGTTTAGCAGAGGGTCACAGTTCTCTTTATCCCTAAGCCTCATCAAGATTCTTTCTTTTATCTCTCTCAGTGTTTCACCCCACTTGCACACCCTGATTTCACTACCAATCTCTCTCTCAGAGTCTTATTTCCAAGTATCCCAACCGAATGTAATAAGAAAATTATGGCCTTTTAGGTGATAAGAAATGCTGTGAGTTATATATTTTACAGAACAAGATGAGACAATGTTAAAGTATTGTCATTTTATAGAGGATGAGATGTTTTGCTAAGATGACACTGTCTGAAACAAGCCTGTTATAACTGAGAGAATGTTGTGATGATGTAGAGATGGGACAATATTGTACATTTTGGCAAAACTGAACTTATCAGAATTCTTTATACTCTTGCATTGCTTCCTGTATTTCTAGTTCTGATATTCTGCTAACAATCTTGCACAAAGCACCTGAAGATATCCTTTTCATATACCAAATTTCTCTACATTTGGCATCTATATCGGGCTGGCTTTTTGAAGTGATGTAGAGCAGATGCCTTATCTATATTTTCTGAAATTGTCCTTGAATCTTGAAACCAACTCTCCAAATGCTTGAAAGAACTTCTATCTGTTCACACTGTCTGTGTGTGGTGATGTTCTTTGGAAAGTTACACTACTGATGACTTTAAATTACTTTTTCTTCCAAGACAATTTACTTGTCATAGTTTCTTGAGGGCAATATGTTCAGTTCTACGTGTTCTCATTCAAACCCAACACTCCCACTAGTGCATTGCACTAATTAACTCCTGAATAGAGCTCTAGAATTTTCCCCATCTGTCTTCTGAATCATGGTTTCAGATTGGATTATTAGCTCATTCTAGTTATACCCAATGTATATGACGTTATTCTTAAAAATAAAAAGTACTCTTGACATCTCACCCTACTTTGTACTATATTGTAGGCTCCTTCTCTTCTCCCATCATAGAAAAACACTCCAAAGACGATTTCTGTGTTCATTGCCCTTAATTCTCATCCTCCAATATTCTTCTGAGGTGTAACCAAGCACTTGGGAATGATTTATCACCTGGAAGTTTCACAGTTGCTCTAAGAAACCACTAATGAAGTCTCTGCCCCTAAGTTTAGTTATGAATCATGTTGCTCTGTGACATTAGAGGATACCACAAATCGATACCCAGTTCAACATTTAATATACTTACTTCAAAATTTAAGGTATCTACTGGAGGCTTTTCTTAAAATTTCAAGGATTCTAGTACACAACCATGAATATAGGCAGCATTCAACCCATGAGTTCACCCATATTTCTCAAATAAAGAAGTTCTACCTCTGTCTTTATTAGCTAATCTCCTAGAACATTGTGTTCTCATTACATACAGAGAGGAAATACTTTCTTACTTACTTTAAAATACTTTGCTTCACTCAGTCACCATGTCATATTTGTAATAGTTTTTTTGACCAACATAACTTCATTCTATTTCTTCATGTTCCTGTTTTATTTGTCATATATACAAAAACTAACTTTGTTTCATAAGCTCATTAAAGTATTAATACATTTTACCTGTTTTCTAAAGACACTAGGGTTAAATTTTGAAGAAATTCAGGTCTATCTTTTCATAAATTTCAAATTATATATATATATAAAATTATAAATTCATGTAGATGGAGTTTAAATATTATCCCATAATTTGCAAACATATGAGACCATAGAGGTTTTGAAATATGGAAGATTTAAAATCAATACTAACATGGAGCATCAACTCCACCAGTGAAATTATGGTCAAACATCTAACTGAAATTACTGAGCATCTGGTGACATCTGCTCATGTCTCCTTTCGGTGGTTTTGTAATTGAGTTAGCATCTCAACTTAAAAATGAAGAGGGGGAAGGAAGAGGAGGGAACCGTAAGAAGAATTAAGATGTGTTATGTCTGTGTACCATCTCCCCATGGTGAATGCAATCATTGTGTTCTGCAAATATGGACTAACAAAAATAAAAATAAAAATAAATGAAATGTAAACTCAACTCACAGTCTCCTTATGTGAAGAAAATTATTGAATATATAATGACAAAATTGAAGAAGGCATTTGTCCTATTCAAGTTGTCATCGTCCTGCCTATATTGCTGGCCATTAGCAATGATCATAGAACACAGGTTAGAATAAAGAAGAAAAATTAGCTTTCAGTCAACACCAATGGTACTCTAGAAAATATGCCCCTGCATGCATTTTATAACATTGATCTAATAATTACAATTACATTATTTGCACTCACAAATATAGCATATATTTTCCCACTTAAAATCCAGGCCTCCAGA